ACAAATCAGATGAATTTTCAAATTTAAGCAATTCAGAAAAATCAAATGAACATTCAAATGATTTAAGCAATTCAGAATAATACTCAAATAAATCAAATGAATTAGATCAATATTCTAGTGAAAGTTTGAGAGAATTAGATATAGATTGGGTTATTAATGAAGAAGACTCTTTACATAATTGGGAGAATAATTAGGAAGAGCAATTACTTGACAATATAGATTGGGAGGATAATGTGACAGAATATTTACATGATTATATAACTTTGTACAATTTGGAGGATTACAAAAAATATTTGCAAGATAATGATAATGATTTGATGAATTCAGATAATAATACGGAGCAAAATACCCAAGAATCAAATTATTTAAGAGCCAATCACAATCTTTTAAAGGATTTAATGAAAAATATAGTCTGTATTTTCCAAATTTCATATCTACTATGCTCTTTTCATGGATTACAGAGTATATGATTTCTATAGCAGCCTATCAAGATCCTTTAACCAAATATTTATTTGAGTAATATTTTCAAATATAATCAAATACTCTTGTCCTTCAACAAGCCAAAGTTCTTCTATATTTATTCTACATGCTTTTCTATTCATACTTCGCAAGTGTCCAGGAAGCCCATTATATAGAACAAGCGGATTAGCTCTAAGTAGTTGCCTCGTATTAACTTCAACAACACTACGAATACGTGCAAACGTAATTGTATTGTCTTGGTGATAACTTAAAAATTGTCTGCTTGATAAGTAACTAATAAAAAAAGACTAATTAGTATGATAAATCAGAGTGCTAAGTTTTATTATATAATATCTCTAATATACTATGCTAAAATAAAAAACTGCTAACTATTATTTACACAAAGTTTAGTTTCTCTAAATAAAGGTGAGTCCTGCCAGAGTATATCATGCCAGAATTCACATTTTTCATCACATACAATATCAGGGCCAAAGTATAAATTAAGCGCAATTGTTGGATTATTAAGAATATATTCAATATAATCTACTGGCATTATTGAATATGCAGGTTTGGTTGAAGCTGAATTTGATGGGGTATGCTGTCTAGAAATTAGAACTGTATGACTCCAAACCTTAAGCAATGGAAGTCTATTTCTCCATTTGCAAAAATGTCTTATATTTGCAATAACATGTTCAGGCTGAAATTCTGAATGTTTAAGAATTTTGACTAGGTCTTCATATGCTGCTGTAGAAATTATATGCTCTGTAATCCATGAAAAGAGCATAGTAGATGTGAAATTTGGAAAATACAGACCATATTTTCTATTAAATCCTTTAAAAGATTGTGATTGGCTCTTAAATAGTTTGTATTCTTGGGTATTCTGCTCTGTATTATTATCTGAATTTGTCAAATCATTATCATTATCTTGCAAATATTTTTCATAATCCTCCAAATTGTCCAAAGTTATATAATAATGTAAATATTCTGTCTCATTATCCTCCCAATCTATATTGTCAAGTAATTGCTCTTTCTGATTATTCTCCCAATTATGTAAAGAGTCTTCTTCATTAATAATCCAATCTATATTTGATTCTCTCAAACTTTCACTAGAATATTGATCTAATTCGTTTGATTCATTTGAGTATCGTTCTGAATTGCTTAAATCATTTGAAGGTTTATTTGATTTTTCTGAATTGCTTAAATTTGAAAATTCATCTGATTTGTTTGCTGATAATTTATAAGTAATAGGCAAGGATCTTTTATAACTTTTGGCTGGCTTTGTACGAACACGAAGAAGAGGTAAGGGAGTGTAGATTTGTTTTATTTTATTATGTCAGCTGCTCATATTAAGGTCAATTTCTATTTTTTAATTTAGTAATTGCAGATAAATTTATCTATTATGTATTATTAACTTTTAATCATATAGTAATCCTCTTATTTTCTTATCGGCGATGTCTTTCTCTTGATCAACTTTATATATGGCAAGAAATGTCTTTATTACTTTGTTTAGAAAAAGATCTATTACTA